TTTAGTGAGGTTTATGCTTAAACCCAGGAAACGGTGAGTTCATCAGAAATATGTTCCGACAACAATGATCTTTTTTAGTTGTGAGGATGTTTAGACTAGAAAATAGACATCAAAAATATTGATTAATACGTATTAATTCAGATTTTTGCTGTGAGTTAAAGGTACTACAGACTTATTTAAACAATGGCAATAAAAATATTACTGTAAATATTCTCCCAATACAATTTGTATGGAAGATTAAATATCTTACCAAATCATGTAGATGTCCCTGTCACAGCCTGATTGGCAGAAAAAAAGCAATGACTCTGAGAAATCTATGAAAAATTACTTTGTTAACAATGATGCATGGTCAAGGCAATTCCTTCACAGTTAACCGTCCAGTCGTGCTGTCCAAGATTAGCAGATCTGTATCCCTCTTATCTTCTGTGAAATATCCAGATGATCATTCACCCTGCACACACACACACACCTGATGATTTTGAAGCCCCCGCCTCTCCTCTCCTTCTCCTCCGTCTGCACGATGTAGAGCTGAGCTGGCTAAACTGCATACAGAAGAGGCTCGGCTTGTGCTCTCTGTGACGCAAGATCAGCCGTCTGGGGACCTGCACTTGTGTGTCTGTTTGCATTTGTGAATGAGAGTACAGGAGAAGGTCGAGGGCAGAAAGAAAGAGGGAGGTGAAGTTAGGATGAGAAATAAGAAGACTGAAAGACAGAAAAAGAATAGGAGAGGAAGAGATTCAAAACTGAACAGGGTTACCGAGAGAAAACGAGCAAGAGGGAGGGAAAGGAACAAAAGAGAGGAGGGATCTGTTCAAGGTGGAAACAGAGAGCTATTGAGAACAGATTACTGGTTTGAAAAGTTGCTAGAAAGCGTAGTTAAATGCATGAGAGAGCCCAATACAGAATTCCAGGTATATGGCTGTACACAAAGTCCCCAAACTGCATCAGCTTACTTAGCTTTCCAAGTCCAAGTCACAAAAACACATTCTTAGCATGGATGATGTCTGATGATAAAATGAAAAGTGGGAGAAACACTTGAACCTTATGCTGTGTTGAAAATCCTTTACCTAATTTCCTGTTCCCAGTCAAAAATGATAAGCCTTTTGAAATTGCTTATAAATCTCTCATTATGCAAGCAAGCAAGCAAATTGTATTATTATTATTAAGTTAATGCAATTCAAAGTGCTTTACAGATACAGCGATTAATACAAATTAAACTGAACAGAATTCAAACAAAAATAAAATAGACCCATTGAAATACACAAATAAGAATAAAGTTTATAAAGATTAAAATATGGAATATAAAATAAAACATTAAAAATGAGTCAAAACAAAACACATGAAAAATACAGAGATTTTATAAGTCTTTACAGAAAGGCCAGACTTAAAAGATATGTTTTTAACTTAGATTTATAACTTTTCATGTTTTCAGCACATCTTATGTTCTCTGGACGGTTGTTCCAGAGGCGAGGAGCATAACGGTTAAAAGCAGCATCACCTAATTTTTTAGTTCTGCTATGAGGTACAGACTCAGAGGATCTAAGAGTCCTTCTAGGTTCATATACTGTAAGCAGTTTTGAAAGATAGTCTGGAGCAAGTCCGTGCAATGCCTTATAAACTAATAAAATATTTTTTAAATCAATACGAAAGCTAACAGGTAACCAGTGTAACTTTAATACTGGTGTAAGTGTAACTTTAATACTGGTGTAATTGTAAGGCTATAATTATCACCAAACCTTGGATTCAATTTTTCTTTCATCAACATGTTTTCTTTCAATTAGTACAGGTTTTGGATTTCTGATCTCAGCATATGCACCTCAGTTTTTGACTGAAAAAGCATTATTTGTGGATTCAAAAAAGAAATACAAAACCAGTGCTAATCGAAAGAAAACAAGTAAAAGACTGAATCCAATATTTGGTAATAATACAGCATAACAAGAAATTTATAAGCAGGTTTTTTTTTTGTAGGCTGGTAATTTTTGACCGAGAACATCACAAGTGTAACAAAGGTAAGAAAAAGAAAAGCTAAAAAAAAAAGCTCAATTTTGGTAGAGGGTTGGGGTTGTAAATTGTTATTCCCAGAGTGAGCTAAGGCAGTAAATTTAAGCCCAATGCGAAAACATAAACTAGAATTTTCAAGAAAAAGAAAATCCTCTCCAGGTCAAAATGACCGGAACACAACATGAGGGTTTAATGCCCAGATTAATGCCCTAAGTATGTTTGCATCTTATATGGTTCTTTTGCCATTTTTAAGTGTATTATTTACATGATGGGTTAGCAACAGTTCGTTTTATTGACCCGTGCACATATCTATAGAAATAGACAAGCTCAGGAAGAACCTTTGCCACAAGGAAGAATCCAATATTTGGTAATAATACAGCATAACAAGAAATTTATAAGCAGGTTTTTTTTTTGTAGGCTGGTAATTTTTGACCGAGAACATCACAAGTGTAACAAAGGTAAGAAAAAGAAAAGCTCAAAAAAAAAGCTCAATTTTGGTAGAGGGTTGGGGTTGTAAATTGTTATTCCCAGAGTGAGCTAAGGCAGTAAATTTAAGCCCAATGCGAAAACATAAACTAGAATTTTCAAGAAAAAGAAAATCCTCTCCAGGTCAAAATGACCGGAACACAACATGAGGGTTTAATGCCCAGATTAATGCCCTAAGTATGTTTGCATCTTATATGGTTCATAATACAGCATAACAAGAAATTTATAAGCAGTTTTTTTTTTTGTAGGCTGGTAATTTTTGACCGAGAACATCACAAGTGTAACAAAGGTAAGAAAAAGAAAAGCTAAAAAAAAAAGCTCAATTTTGGTAGAGGGTTGGGGTTGTAAATTGAGCTAAGGCAGTAAATTTAAGCCCAATGCGAAAACATAAACTAGAATTTTCAAGAAAAAGAAAATCCTCTCCAGGTCAAAATGACCGGAACACAACATGAGGGTTTAATGCCCAGATTAATGCCCTAAGTATGTTTGCATCTTATATGGTTCTTTTGCCATTTTTAAGTGTATTATTTACATGATGGGTTAGCAACAGTTCGTTTTATTGACCCGTGCACATATCTATAGAAATAGACAAGCTCAGGAAGAACCTTTGCCACAAGGAAGAACTTCTTTCTGGATAATATTGATGGTTTTCCTGCTGCTATTTCTGGATGTTTGCTTTAGAGACCAATTGGAAGAATCCCTTCTTATCTCAATGTTTGCTTAGGCTGCTGTATGAGTTTCCATACAGAGATTTGTGCCAGGAGGAGTAAACACCCAGAAATTGGACCATAAATTAAACACAATCACTTGACACATTATCCAGTTCAAAAGCTCTTTCCAGGGCTGTCTACTATAGCATACTGTGTTTTTGTAACTTTTGGGAGGCATTTGTGATCAACTGAGACTGAGGAATCTTGTCCTTATGTTTTAAAAGTTAAGTTACAAATCCTTAAAATACACTGTATACACTCCATGTTGACCTTTGTGCTGAAGTGTTATTTTTAGTTTTCACGTTTTGATTTTAGTTTAAGTTTTAGAAATTTTGTAATGTGCTTTTTCTTTGTTATTAGTAATTTTTTAATATTTCCATTTAGCTTTATTTTTCATTTCACTAGTAGTTTTTTTATGAAGTGATTTCAGTACTTTAAACCTCTTAAATGTTAAATGTTGTGAAGGAAACATTACTAGTTTTTCATCTAATATTTTATTTCATATTTTTAATAGAGTTTTAGTTTTAATTAACCATAACAAAACTGGTGCTGGAGTTGTGCACACAGATTTGTAATGTTAACCGTAGTGTTTGACAAGGTTCAAGTAAAGCCGACACGGAAAATTCTTAGTTCATCATTGCTTTGAGGTAAATGAAATAAAACCCACCAACAAATGAAATGAGATCCCACTCCTGTTGACACATCCAGACTTGCATTATACTCAATTTTCTCAGAAAAAGAGTGACCCTTAGTTTAGCCACAGGGTTAAATGACTTAATGTGGGTCTTTGAAATTTGATTATAACGCACAAATATTTTATGTTTATTGCTGCTATGACAACGCCGAAGCTTACTAGTCTAATGAAACTTTCTTGTGTATAAAGCCTGAATAGATCATGTTCAGAAGAACAGCATTATTTGAAATAAAAATCGTTTGTAACACTACAAATGTCTTTTACTGTCACTTTTGATAAATTGAATCCATCCTTGCTGAATAAAAAGTATTAATAAAAAAAAAAATCACAAAATCACAAAATAAAATTTGATCACAAAAGAAGATATTTTGAAGAATGTTGTTATGGAAAAAAATACCCGCCTATAGTGCGTGTCTAAACGTCCCGCACCTCACCTCAGTGGCATGTGCTCTGATTGTATTGTAAACAAGGGCATAGTTAATATCGCTTATCAGAACCTGTGCAAGCACGGCCTTTGATGGTAGGCCTATGCTTGTTGTGGTCTCATACTTTTAGATACGCTGTTATCTGTAAATGCTACTGCTTATGTTAGCTTTTAATATACGGTTTTATCCTGATTAAAGCTTTAATACAGTAAGGCAACTGCACGCGTGTCCATGTTTAACGCTTCTCATAGCTATGTGAAAATAAGTGTATAATTGGAACAGTTCATTGTTCCCATTAGAATTTTTAGAAGACAATCACGATTCATATATGAATAGATTTTTACGTGCACCCCTATTTCTCTTCCTCTTCTCTAAAGCAGCACAGCATGGCCTCGCCCCCTTTATTGCGTGTTCCGGGGGCGGGGTTTGTGATGTCACGAACCCGGGAAGTAACTTGTTGTAGTCCCTACCAGCCATTTTTGTAGCCATTAAACTGCCAGAATTTTAAAAGACGATATCTCCGTTTGCATTGAACTTTCAGCTTCGTAACTTTGCAGATATGGTTTATGCTCAAACATTACACACTAACGTTAAAAAGCGAAATCGCAATCAACCACCCCTTTAAAAAAAAATAAAAATAACTAAGAATCAAAATGAAGCATTATTCTGAATCATTATCCTGGTTAGATGAGTGTGTTTTCATTCAATTGTATTTTTAAATTTACAAAAGAAAGCACATACGATCGTAAAATGACATCTATTTCTAAGCAGGCTTACCTCTCTGACGTTTCTCTTCTTGCCAAACATGATCTTGTCATAGAGGTATTTCTCTTTCTTCTTCATCATCATAATGGCCAGCCTCTTCTCCTCTGCTTTCTCCTCTTGTTCGGTTCGCATGCGGTTCTCTTGTTTGACTTTACCAGGGGTCACCTTTACTGACAGCCTCTGAGGGAGACAAAATTGTACTTTTTAATATTTATTTGATATATTCCTCCACAAAATGTTTCATTTAAGGTGCAGAAACAAACAAAAAAAAAGATTCCATCCCGAAAATCCTCCGTATTTAGAATCAAATCATGCAATTTTTTTTTAACCCTGTAAAGCCTGATAAACAAAATAAGTTTTAAAATTTTAAATAAAATTTAAAAATAGGTTTGTATATTTGTATTTTGTTGAGTGTCATTTCTGACACATTAAGCTTTTATGGCTCATATAGTATATGGAGCTCACACTCGAGGAGGAAAAAAAAACACCTAAATTTTATTCCCAAAGGCCCAAACGAAGCAAAAATATGCAATTTGGTGCAGTTGCTGATCATTTATATTTATAAATATAAGATGAAATTCTGGCAGCTTGTAATGTAAATCAATGAGATCTTTATAGGAGTATAACAGACTACTTACATAAAATGCATATACATATCAGTTGTTACTCTGTATCTCCCAAAAATGCTTTAGTAAGATGATATTTAAATGCTTAGCTTTATGATCAAAGCTCTGTGGTTTTTATTGTGGAGGAAATACATATAATGCAATGCAATACAATGATGAGTGAGAGATGAACAAATAAATGATCCTCAAAAAGGCCTGATTTATCATATTTGATAGATTTTAACATGATTTTTCTGAAAAATGATGTATGGATAATTAAGTAAACCTAAGTTGCTTCAGTTCATTAAGTGTAATATTACTAACAATACAAAAGTTATTCATATAATTACTTCATAAAATTCAGTAAGATTTCACAGCAAGAAGAATGTACCACGAGCTGAAGGTGGATATTTTTATAATTGTACTAAAAGGCCATTTACTTACTGCTAAAAAAGTATAAACTATTAATCAGACAACAGAAGGTATGTGGTGCAACAGATTTTTTCAGCAGTTTTGATCATGTTGATGATTTAGAGGAGAACTTTGCATATACAGTAGGCACTATAGGGTTAAATGTTTTCACTTACAATTTTGTAGTTACAGCACCACTCAGCAAACAAGCAGTATAACTGCAAAAATGAGTTATGCAAAATGAAAACGATCTTACCTTTCCCTGAGCTCTCTTCTCCTCCATTTCAGCTAAATTTGCTTCATCTTCAGACTCATCTTCTTCCTCACTTTGATCATCTTCCTCTTCGTCATCTTCATCCTCCTCCTCCTCTTCTTCCGTCTCTGTGAAGAGTTTGTTTGCGAAGTCAACAATCACTCAAAAGTCACATATTATATGACATATCACATGGCAAAAACCCTCACGTGGCTTCTCTCCTCTCTGCAGGGCCAAGAGTTTGAGTTTCTCAGGCGGCACATAATCTCCCTCACTCTCCTCCACGAATGGTGACAGATGGGGCGGCAGTGTAACTCCCAGGAAATATTCCTCTACAGGTAACAGAATCTTCGCATTTACACAGTCATACACCCACTGGGGCTGGATGTAGTACCTGCAAGGATGAAAATACATTAAGTACAAGAATATACATTAATTACAGTATAAATGTAAAGTATACACCGTCCACAATCAGTGGGAGTTGGTTTCGGACCTGTTGATGTACTGTTTGTTGATGGTGGGTCTGTCCACAATGTGATGTGTGATCATTTCGTCTGTTTCATCATATGTGCTGCCGATGCACAGTGATTTATCCCAGGACACCTGTCCACCGAAACACCTGCACAGCGTACAACACATTCTTATATGCTGACAAAAACTGTAAAACTGTACATACACAAACTATGAACGGCAGCAATTCAACAAGTTACATGTTTTGGGGTTTTTAAAACCTAAAACTGTGGGAAAAAAAACCTAAAAGTAAAACCATTAAAAAATGCTTGAAATAAAATAAACATTATCTGAAATAAAATAAAAAAAACATTTTATATTGAAGTACTAAATTAAGAAATTAAATTCACTATAAAGATATTTTTAAAAATGATTAAAATGACAAAACCACATCAATTAACTAAAAATGTTACTAAAATTTTAATATTTACAAAAACTATATCAATGATATTAGAACACCACTGACTTGTATGCGAATACACCACAAACTTGAACCTTCATCAAATAGGGTCCAAAATAGTTGTTCTTGTTTTTTTAAACGGGTCATATGAAGAAATTTAAATTTTTCCTTTCTCTTTGGAGTGTAAAGTTGCAAAGACTAAAGTCTCAAATCCAAAGAGATATTCTTTATAAAAGTTAAGAGTCAGCCACACCTACCTAAAACGGCTCGTTCAAACACGCCCCCACATATTAGCATAATGCCGCCCAAATGTGCACGCAAAGAAAGGCGGCGTGGTTTCAGGAACAGCAGCAGTGTTGATGCAGCCATGTCAGGGAGACACTGTGTTTCAGTGCTAAAGCACTTTATTTGGCCTTCCGGAAGTAAATGCAATTAGGAATCATTGGTTAAGATTTATTTACAACAGAACAGCACAACCCAGAAAAAATGCACAATTGTTTTTTACAATAACTTTGATTATAGGGTTGAATAGTTGCTTGACAAAAGTTGAGAAAATTCCTTTATTCACCCAAGTTCCCACAATGCTCATTATTAGAGTTGCATTTTTTTAATACAAGGAAATATCTATGCAGTAATAGGGTGTGAGAAACCGCTAAACATCATGTAATTTATTAGTTAATTAAAAATAAATATAATAGAAATTCAGTAGTCGTAATTACTGACATTATTGCATGATTTTTACTGTTGTATAGAGCGGAGATGGGACAAATGCATATTTCTTGATCTACTTTTCATGTAAACTGTTAATTACTAGATTATCAAAAACATCTAATCTAACATCGAGTTCTACCTCTAAAGAAAATTAGATTTGTGCCTTGGTGTCTTTAAAAAAAAAAAAAAAGGAAGAGCAAACCATTTTGTACCCTGTTTAAGGAAAGTGCCATAGATTAAATGAGTGATAAAAATGAGTTGGTACGTCACACTCCTTCACCTGATGAGAAAAGCCAGCGATTCCCTGGGAACTTCTCTGTTTAGGAAAAACTTCAGCCCTTCGAAGAGCTTCTTCTGTTTGTTTTGCTCCAGCTCGATCTTCTCTCTCGCCTCCATTGTCTCCAGGTCTTCCTGCAATTGAAAGAGCACATACAAATAAAGTTCTATAAAAACTACATTAAATAATGAGGACAAAGGTTGCCTGCAGTCACGCTGGTTTCATCAGAATGTTTAACACCTTCAGCGTGAAACCATAGTAACAGTCTCCCTCAGTGAACCCGAAACATGAGGATGTGAGGTCCATCCAAAACAACAATTAATCAAATGCGGGTTAAATGCTTCACCGACTCATACCTTGTAATGTGTGACTAAATAACGAGTGTCTTTTGACACTTTCTTTTAGTGAACTTGAAGTGTGGAAAATTATTGTGGAGTCACATAGTTGCATTAATTACATATGGCATAAGTGCTTTAGCAATTCGAGAGGAATCTGACAGCTTTGACTTTGCTACAAAACAGCTGTTCCAATTGTTTTTATAATCTGACCCATGAACTGCAGTTTATGAAAGGTGCCCTACAAATAAACTTTTTTTGTTAGTTATTAAATAAAACAAACTTTAAGCCCCCACTGGTTTTACATACAGAACCACAAAACCATATTAACGATATTAATATTAATTAATATAATATATATTAATATATACACGTGTGACCCTGGACCACATAAGTGTCAATTTTTCAAAATTGAGATGTATACATCATTTGAAAGCTGAATAAATAAGCTTTCCATTGATGTATGGTTTGTTAGGAGAGGACACTATTTGGCCGAGATACAACTATTTGAAAATCTGGAATCTGAGGGTACAAAAAATTGAAATATTGAGAAAATCGCCTTTAAAGTTGTCCAAATGAAGTTCTTAGCAATACATATTACCAATCAAAAATTAAGTTTTAATATGTATGCAGTAGGAAATGTACAAAATATCTTCATGGAACATGATCTTTACTTATATTAAAAAATATTAATGATTTTTGGCATAAAAGAAAAATTTATAATTTTGACCCATACAATGTATTTTTGGCTATTGCTACAAATATACTCCAGCGACTTAAGACTGGTTTTGTGGTCCAGGGTCACATACACACACACACACACACACACACACACATATATATATACTATGGTATTTTCAAGATAATTCAGGCCATACTATGATATTACAATGGGACAGCAATCATGGAAATGATGACTGATTTTATTATTATCATTTGCATTACCATGTCCAAATTAATAATAATAATTGTGATTATTATTTCTAATAATATTATAACATTTGTATAAATGCTTGTTAATTCTAATACCATTCAAAATAACAATTATTTTTATTGTTATTACTGTGTTTTTTTTTTTGATAAGGTAATAATTCATAACCATTTATAATAACATTATTAGAATGTATAATAATAATCATATCCAAATAACCCCAGCTGTTGTTGTTATTATGGCAGTGGTTATATTGACATGGTAATGCAATTAATAATAATCATTATTATTATTATTATTGCAGTGTTTATATTGACATGGTAATGCAATTAATAATCATCATCATTATTATTAATATTATTGCTGTGGTTATATGGACATGATAATAGAGTTTATAACAATCCATTCTAATATTATTAAAAGATTATAACAATAATAATAGAATGTAAAATATAAAACAACATGATAATAATCTCCAAATAACCACAGTTATTATTATTATAAATTATATTACCATGTCAATACTGGTTAATTATTTGTATGTATATATATATATATATATTTTTTTTTTTAAGTATACTGGTTTTAACTACAAAATGTTTCCCAATATGTTATCCCTTGGATTGACCAGAGGTCATTTCTGCAAGTCACTGCTGTCTCTCACTCACCCCTTCAGCAGGGAAATGATCCGGCTCTGCCTCCTCGTCCTCCACTAAGGGAACCGTGCGGGCCAGACTGGCACTTAACGCTGACAGTTTCTGGAAGCAAATGCAGAGATGGATGTCTAAAAACAAACTGTAATATTTGGCACAATTTAATGTTGATATGAAAAGAGAAAAAGCATTAGTCAGTACCTCAGAATAGCTTTCTGATTCCAGGGCATAATCTTCTTCACACGTTGATTTGAGGTTGAACTCTCCTTGTCCATCAAGCTAACAGAACCAGAATAAAATAACAGATTCAATTTCCGATTGGAATGTATTGGAATTTTTTCCTACTGAAAAAATAAAAAAAAAAGGCATTTAATGGAAGCACATTTACACATTTTGTGTGTGATACCTTGGGCGGGTAGACAAGGTTGAGAGTCTGGTAAAGGCGGAAGTTGACAAATCCAAGCAGCGTTGTGTAGAGTTCTGTAAATGTGGCCATAACTCTGTAATCCACATCTGTAGGGTGCTGAGGGGAGCCGGAACAGGTGTGTTATATTTAACTGTCATCTATAGAAAGACCTCAGCATCCAAAACACTACAAAAATTAAAACACTGAACCAGAATAAATGATAGTGATAAAAAAAAGACCAAAGAGCCATTAAAGCTAGGAATGGGCAATATGACCAAAATCTTATTTCACGATAACGATACATATCTCAATATGGCTATATTTTAGCTTTATCTATAGCTTTATTTTATTTTTGTTATTAAATATAAGAACAAAGAAGCAAATTACAAACAACAGGACCAACACAATAGAATAAACATATACTAACACATTTTTTTAGATACAGTAGGTTCATGTATTAAGAAATGCTAAAGAAACTGAATAATCAAGTGTATAACTAACACACGGCATCGACAGCGGCCATCACTGTATAAAAAAATATGAACTGATTCGTAATAAAGATAGAAAAGTCATTCAATCCTTCAATTCAGTCTTTTTTTGTTTGATTAACAGTAATGATGACACAGGCAGCAGCAGGTATATTAGGCAGCTGTCACTTTAAGACCAACTGCACAGATCCAATATACTGACAAACCTGCTTTCCATGTGTGATACTAGTGCTGGGTGGTATGACCAAAAATGTATATCAAGGTATTTTTCTAAATTATAGCGGTTTCACGGTACATGACGGTATTTTTTTTTCACGCATGACCAGGTGTTAACCATATTTTCTACTGATTGAGAGAGAAAATACTGCAGTATATTGACTTAGAATGCCCTATTTTACTGTCATGATGACTGAATATTGTCAAAAAATACCACACCAAATAGTGACTAAACACGACCCCTTTTAATACATGTTAACCAGGAGTTACTCTCATTTATAATCGCGGCATCGTCTGATAAAATCAACATGCATCTACACTAAAGAGTGGCTATGCGGTTGTTTTGGCTATATTACTTTTTTGTCTCATGCAGCGCACTGCCTGCGTCTGAGTAACAAACTAAAAAAAACAACAAACAAAAAAGTGCATGTTATATTAACAGGCGAACTACGCTCATATTTATAATTTCAAACAGTCAGTAAGCGACAGGTGCTAGGAAACGCTGTTTTGTACTCCATTTATTGACGAGTCTGCTGCGGTGCGGCCAACTGAATGTGCTGCTTTTCTGCCGCTCACTGCACAGAACAGACGCCGAGAGAGGTGACACTTTTATTAAAAAAAAAGAAAGTCAGACCTCACGTTTGCGGGACAGCACTGGCGAAATCTTCCAACTGAACCATAGCTAAGGTTTATCCAAAAAAGTCGCTAGGTTTGTCAGTATGAATATTCTATGGAAAAAAGCCGCTAAAAGGGTCTGAAAGTTGCTAAATCTAGTGCTAAAGTCGCGCTTGTGTGTGTGTGTGAGACGTGGGAGCTGATGGCAGGGGGTGGTGGATATTTGTGGCGGTCAATGTGGATATTGTGGATGAGTTCTTCTGTGTCATCACGTTCTGTTAGTTCTACAGCTTCAGTTTCGGAACTTTCACGCTTAGTAACACATACAGCTGTTCCCTCACCACAGTGCAACAGTGAAAAGGACCCCTTTCAAACAGTGTCGCGTTCCAAACATTGTTTAAGCGAAGTTGAATTGCCGGTTTTTAAAAATTCCTATCATAACAAAAATAAACACCGGTATTCGGTATGAACCGGTATACCGCACAGCACTATGTGATACATAAGTAAAATTTATAAAAAAAATTCAACTATTTACTGACCAAGCTTGAAGTTTACAAAAGACACATTTAGACTCACATCATGGGCAAACTGATATGGTACGATCCATGTGATGGTTTGTCCCAGGACCTCTGCCTGGTAGTAAATGCCCTTAATGGAAAGAAACACCTGAAGAAACAAAAATAACATTTTTAACAGTCACAGACGTGGTTGAAAATACATAGCTGTAACATTCATGAATTAATTAAATTTTAATTAATTTTTAAAATGCACACTTTTCATAGCATATGTTTACAGTACCTTTCTCAGGGACCGTAAGTCAATAATGTAGTTCATCCATTCGACGCCGAGTCTCCGGCACAGCTGAATTGTCTGAACGTGGCATTTTCCTGTGCGAGCGAACGTAGAAAACAGGAAACACATAGAGAGGGCATCATCTACATCTCGGAGAGCATCAATGAATGTGGGATACCTGGAAAAACAAACTTATTTTAAAAACAGTTTACGACACAGTGACAGACCACTCAATGAAAAATGGAGGAAGAAAGCAAATTATTCAATGTGGCAACTGAACAAAATATTTGAGCACAATTTGAGCAAAAGAAGCTAAATTTAGTGCCAGATAAGAGGTGATTTGACATATGTTATGGAAATCTAATTTTAACGAACTGTTTTGGAGATTTCCTTAAGTAGGAAAACAGGAAAGAAAGCTGCACTTGTCAAGCTATTTCATAAGTGTTTTCAATTGAAATAGTTATACAGGTGCCCATAAATTAGTATTTTTATCAGCAAAGATGCATCAAACTGCTCGAAAATGACAAAGACATTTATAACGTTATAAGATTTCTATTTCAAATAAAATTTCTATTCATCAAATAGCAAATCAGCATTAGTATGATTTCTGAAGGATCATGTGACACTGAAGACTGGAGTAATGATGCTGAAAATTCTGCTTTGCCATCGCAGGAATAAATTACATTTTACAATGCATCCAAATAGAAAATAGTTATTTTAAAGTGTAATATTTGTTCAGAATATTACTGTTTTGCAGCTTGGTGAGCATAAGAAACTTGTATCTAAAGCATGGGAAAAATTCTTCTTGAAAAACTTTTGAACGGTTGGGGAAAAAACCCTAACATTCCAAATTCAAAACCTGCTGATGCAACAGTAGTAAACAGAGACAGACAGTGAACGAGACAGTCAGTCGAGCCAAGATAATTAAAGTATCATATTCTTGATATTCTTGTGACTTTTTGGATTCTCATAACTGATCTGTTTGTGGACAGGGACTGAGACTCCGCCAGTACTCACAATAGTGCTTGGACACAAATAGGTGCTTATCACATAACACTGTCTGGACACACAGAAAAGTCATTCACAGCATGTTGTTGTTGGGTCAGAGCATAGACTGTAAAAAAAAGATGGACGACGCGCCTCCTATTCCTTCCACTGTAGAAAAGTGAAGCCAAAGCATCTCAGTATGGCCGCTGCCATCTTGAGTAAAACATCAGAGTCTGCGCAGTAGAGATTCGTTTAGAGCCAGAGTCTGCGCAATAGAGATTCGTTTGGAGCCAGAGTCTGCGCAGTAGAGATTCGTTTGGAGCCCGAGTCTGCGCAGTAGAGATTCGTTTGGAGAGAGTCTGCGCAGTAGAGATTCGTTTGGAGAGAGTCTGCGCAGTAGAGATTCGTTTGGAGAGAGTCTGCGCAGTAGAGATTCGTTTGGAGAGAGTCTGCGCAGTAGAGATTCGTTTGGAGAGAGTCTGCTCAGTAGAGATTCGTTTGGAGAGAGTCTGCGCAGTAGAGATTCGTTTGGAGACAGAGTCTGAGCAGTAGAGATTTGTTTGGAGACAGAGTCTGAGCAGTAGAGATTCGTTTGGAGAGAGTCTGCGCAGTAGAGATTCGTTTGGAGCAAGAGTCTGCGCAGTAGTGTCGTGAGGTGAAGCCGAGGTATCAAACTCCCGCAGACCCAATCAACCATAACGACACGCCCCGTTTATATTAGGGATGTTACGATCCGCCTTTTTCGCCTCCGATACTGATTCCGATACCTAGGGTTCGGTTTTGGCCGTTACCGATCCGATACCAGTGAAGTTTTTTTTCCCCTCATTTAAATAAATGTAGAATTTATATATCTCTGTTTGCGGAACTGATAATCATTCTTTCACAATCTACTAGATACAGACTACGTCATTATAAAGAAAAATAAAATCAACAAATATGAAAAATAATAGGCCCATGTATATTTATAATCTATGACAAAAATGTATCAAACTAGGTTAGTGGATAATTCGGCAGCAAAAGTTATTCTAGAAAAATCAGTGTATAATACTTTTAGAAATCCAAACATTTAGTGAAAAAAATATTTTGTGGGGAACAAATAAAAGTGTTGCACTAAATATGGCAAAATTTTACACATTGCTATTTGTATTATTATAAAATCCATTAATTAAAAACCCATTCATGAATGTATTTATATACAAGTATATACTATAAAATTAAAATACATTTCTTTTAAATGTATAGCATATTTTTTAATAAGGCAACAACATATGATAGATACGATAGGACAAAACAAATACAGTGCAGCACGAACTGTTTTTATACAGTCTATGAGCACGAAGCGCTTACAATGCAGCCTCTTTCTCTGTCTGTCTGTCTGTCTCACAGATTCAAACACAGGCTCCTTCAGTCGCTGTCTTGCTGTTGTTTGCTCCTCAGTGTGTGTCTCTATACTGCCGTGTGTTTCTGACTCATGATTGTGGTGTTTCTGTCCGACAGCCTCCTTTAGTGCCTGTCTTCTGTCTGCGCTCTACTAACACTGACTCCCTCCTTCCCTCTCTATGTCTCTCTCTCTCTTGCTCACTCACTGTCTGCCATCTTCAGCCTGACGCCTTGTTGCTTCAAGTGCATCATTCTGCACACCGCACATTGTAAGCGCTTCATGTTAAAAACTGCAAAGCACAAAGGGAAGAGAAATTGATGCGTAGTGTATTATATCTGTGCAACAGTTATTGAGCCTTTCTTTTAACAGTTTTAAATTTCAGTTACTGTGCACGTTAAAAACGCATCTTGTCAGTAAAGCCATTCTGTAATCAGCGGTAAATCTCCATCACGTGTGTGCTTTCACATGGAGCAGCATTAACTACACAGAGCCGTTGTTCACTGACAAGCTGTGCAAAACCACGATCATATTTTGCACTTGTTTTGCGCAGCTTGTGATCAAAGAGCCCGCAGCTTCACTTTTCAGGACGTGTGAGGCACACCTGGGTCAGAGAGTTGAAGTGCGTCCCCTGCAGTCCACAGACAGCACTGCGTTTACTCTCACCTCTCCTTGATGATGTGGTCCAGTTTGTACACAGGCTTGTTCTCTTTCATTCTCTTCACTCCGCTCCATTCAGCCTTGCCATATGCTTTCCGCAGTTTCCTCACAAAAATCTACAACCAATGAATGTATAGTTAGCTTATAGATTGTCTTATGAACCATTTCTTCAGTGAAAAACATACCATCAGAATTTAATCTAGGATGCCTAAAGTTTTTTTTTTTTTCTTCGTCTTTCTTAGAGCGTCATGTAGCAAATAATATGTAATCTTTTAATTGCATTAAGCAACCAAAATAAGTGTTTTTATGAGAGATTTCACTGAGACTGGCTAGAGTGACATGCACCGTTTGCTGCAAATGTGCAAGTAAAAAAAAATAAAAAAAATAATTTAAATTAAAATTTTTGTTAATTTAATATTTTGAAAAAATATTAAATTCACCCATTATTGAAAACGAAATAAATAAAATAAAAACTTGTTTTAAAAGGCAACTCAGCTTCTCACCAATTTCTGACATTTTATAATGTTGTATTACAATTGATAAGCGGGTTCTTCATTTCATTGCCTATCATACATTTTTTTTCAGTAATTAGATAATGCGGACATAAAATATATATTAAATAAAATATTTATTAAATTAGAAATGTTGCCTTGGCAACTAACTGAAATGAAATAACTAAGTCGAGGTACTAAAATTACTGAAACTAAAATATAAATACATTAAAGCGAAATAGAAATGTAAAAAAAATAATAAAAATGAGAACAGCACATCAAATTACTAAAACGTAAAATGGAAACTGAAAATATAAAAATAAAAGCTAATTCAAAATAGTAATAGATATTATAATAGTATAAATAATTCTAAAGTAACACCGACTGAAAAGTCTAAATGGATGCATTTAATTATTGCATAACCAAGAAAATTAAAAGACCCTTCAAAGTAAATTTTTTTTTTTTTTTTAAAGAAATTGACATTTCTCTCTCTCTCTCTCACACTTTCGGCTGCTACCGTTAGAAGTTTCCACAGCGGATCATCCAAATGTTTCTTTGGCATACATTTTACATTGTTATTGACATTGTTAATACCTATTAAATACATATATTAGCTCCACTGTCATTTCATTTAAAACGTGAAAGTGAAAAAGTGACCAAAATGATAAGGATTAGAGGATGCTGCCGCAAACACACAGCAGCATCTAGCTTTACTAAAGCACAGTTCTTACCTTGTACTCTCTGAACTTGCCAACAACAGGCTCATGCAAGAGGAAACGAATGTCTTTCAGCAGGTAGAAGGTTCTAGGTGCTGTCGAGCCCTTGTTGACCTTTTTTTTGTGTTTGGGCTCATGAGGATAGATTCCTTTTAATATGCATAACCGCCTATAGAATGAGAAGCATGCATTAATTCACAATGAACTGTATTAAACGCTTAAATAATTAAACAAAGCAAGATACAGTATATACATCTGTGTTTTGCAACTGGTGGTTCATGAAAAACATCAAGCAAGAAATACTATATACAAATTATAAAGCACAACTAACTGTATTATTGTGCATAGTTGAGAAGATACCAAAATAAATAGAGATATCTTTTAAAAGTATCGCTTTTTATTTCTCCTCTTTCCTACTACTTGATTCGCTTCGGTTTCAGTTTTTATAACCATTTCCTACTATGTGTAAGTAAGTTGTTTTTTAGCATGTATGTTTGACTCAGTGTTATTTTTTAGGATTACTGATAAACTCGTTTGATTTGTATTATTTGTGTTTGTTACTTATTTTAATTTTAGTTATGAAATAATATATATATTGAATTTATGTGTGTGTGTATGTATATATGTATGTGTGTGTAGTTGTACATACACATATGTAGTTTTTTTTTGGTGTTTGGCTTAGTGTTATGTTAGAATCATTATTATACTCTTATATCTTTTGTTCTTTAATATTTTGATATATTTAAATATTTTTAGTTTTTCATTTAAATGTTAGGTTTTGAAATTTTGTTGTAGGCATTTATCATTTTTATTTAATTTCTTTATTTTTAAAATGTGTATAAGTAGCATTTATAAAGCTTTAGCCTTTAGTTTTGGATCTTTCGTTTTGAGTTGTTTTAATACTACAATTGATTGCTTCTGTTGTCCTCATTTGTAAGTCGCTCTGGATAAAAGCGTCTGCTAAATGACTAAAATAAATAAAAGTAATTTTTAAATATCCTTTATTACTGTTGTCAAATCTAGCTGTCATTTGGAACAAACTAGTTAAAAATCAGCTTAAAATCATGAACATTTAGTACAGGTGCATCTCAATAAATTAGAATGTCGTGGAAAAGTTCATTTCAGTAATTCAACTCAAATTGTGAAACTCATGTATTAAACATCGAAAAAGTACATGACATTCTCTATCAACTAAACTACTATATAAAGTATGAGGAAAGTAAAATTAAAATATTACTAAGACACCAGGACAGAACATAAGAACATAAATGAAATGCTTTGTTTTGTTAACCAACCTGAAATCAGCCAGACTCAGACTCAGCTTCTTGCGGGCTTTATTCCTGCTGACATAGTTAGTTGCTGATCCGCTCTCATACTACACGAGAAGAAATGACAGCTTAGCAAGTGCTCTGACATGCGGGAATATGCATAAACGAGACATATTTCATACGGAGTCAAATCTTGAGATGAATTAGAATTAAGAACCCTTATTTGCTGTCAAGCAAAGCTGAAAACAACTGCAATGAATATTAAAGCAAGGAAATTCAAGACAACATTCTGCTGTAGTTATTTAAATATTTGATCATATGCCATATATACAAATATATACTGTTAAACGTATACACAATAAAGTAATACGTTTAAAAAACACAGGTCTGCACTCATCAACACATCAGGTTTTGTTTACCGACAGTATTGCTCTAAATCTCTGTCTTACCTTCTTCTTTTGTAATCCGCCCATTACAGCGGAGTTGACTTTTTTCACTCGACAAACCCTAAATTAAAAACGTTTGCAATAAAAAGGCAAATAGATCGCAGAGCTGATCCAGTACTAACATGCGTCCTCCTAACACACGTGTTTTGTGTGATGTCAGTCAGCCGAGACAGTAGGACCCTTGAACTGAGGCGCACGAGCGAATGCCTGCATAGAAAGGCATGAACGAGTAGCGAACCATAGTAACCTAATTTTATTATACTATAAATAATATGTTTATGTTGCAGAATAAATGAACAATATATATTATTATTTTTGTGTATGTAATGCATAGATACTTAACAAGTCATTTAATAGTTTGGGATCAGTAAGATTTGTATTACTTTTTAAAGAAGCCTCTTATGCTCATATAGGCTGCATTTATTTGATCAAAAAAACAGTAATATTGTGAAATATTATTACAATTTAAAATAACAGTGTTCTATTTTAATATACTTTAAAATGTAATTTATTCCTGTGATCAAAGCTGAATTTTCAGCATCATTACTCCAGTCTTCAGTGTCACATGATCCTTCAGAAATCATGCTAATATGCGAATTTATTATTAATGTTGGAAAAGGCTTAATGTTTTTTTTTGGAACCTGTGATACCTTTTTCGGGATTTTTTGATAATTAAAAAGTTAAAAAGAACAGCATTTATTCAACATTTTCTAACAATATAAGTCTTTACTGTCAATAAAAATAAATTGAACACATCTTTGCTGAATAAAAGTATTAATTTCTTTCAAAATAGAAAGAAAAAAAATCTGTTGTTACAAAAGACACTACCGTTCAAAAATTTGGGGTCAGCAGGACATGATGAATTTAAAACAAGAGACTGAATACCTGCAGAGAAACAAAGAACGGATGTCAAAGGAGCTTCACTAAGCTAGAGAAGAGCTGAAGGAATTCATATCAAATTTCAGAAGACAAATAACAGAAATTAAAACAGAAATGCAGGAAGAACTGTCTGTGTTGAAATCAGAACTTCGAAAGAAGGATGAACTTATAAATAATATGAAGGAACAACTTCTTTTGTTTCATCGTCCAAAGCATCTCACGCTAAACACCTGACCTGTCTAGAGACCCCCACTGACAATCAGCAATCACCTGCAGCGGATGAGCCTCGCTCTTCATCAGATCCACAGACCAAAGCCCACCGCACTGCTCCACACAACCCCACCCAAACAGAAGCTCTTATTCTCATCGACTCCAGCGGAAAAGTCCACAACCACATCAGCACAGTAAAGCAAGGCAAATACTACACCTGGCTTAAAATCCACAAGGAACTGCTCCCATCCAGAAAAGATATATTCCTGTGTGCCATATACATCCATCAGAGTCCCCCCACTACAGCGAAGACATGTTCTCCACATTAGAAGAAGAGACAAGCCACTTCCAGGCCCAGGGAAACGTGCTCATCTGCGGAGACCTGAATGCAAGAACAGGACTACAGCCGGACTTCACCGACACACAAGGGAGCAAATATATCAACAACAAACTGACTGCTATTAATAACACATTCTCCCATATCCACAGAAATAACCATGATGCTATAGTAAATAAGAATGGAAAAGTCCTCCTGCAGCTCTGTCGAAGCCTGGGTCTGTATATCATCAACGGTAGGTTACGAGGAGACACTTTAGGGAGATTCACATTTTGCTCGCCTCTGGGGAATAGCACAGTTGATTATATGATAACAGACATAGATCCTTCATCTCTCAGATCATTCACTGTTAGAGAACTAACCCCTCTGTCTGATCACAGTCAAATCACTGTGCATCTCAAAAAGACAGAAAACAGCATTAACACAAAGCCCAGTAAGCTGTACAACATCAGAAAGCCATACAGATGGGCTGACAACAGCGCTGAAGAATATCAGAAAGCACTTAGCAGCCAAACAATACAAGCCGTGGTAGATAACTTTCTAAATAACACCATATGCTCACACTAATGAGGGTGTCATCTTGCGGTCAAAGATATTCAATTACATATTTGAAAATCAGCAAAACAGTCCAAATTGAAAACAAAAAATGGAAAAAATCAAATACCCCAAAATGACAAAAATTTGTTTGATCAAGACTGCCAAACTATTCGCAAAAAACTGAGAACATTGTCAAATCAGAAACACAAAGATCCAAATAATGCAGAGATCCGCCTTCTTTACAGTGAAGCACTAAAACAATACAAACATATGATCAGAACCAAAAAAGCACAATACACCCAAAAACAACTGACAATAATTGAGAAGTCAGTGAACACAAACCAATTTTGGGAAAATTGGAACAATCTGAAAAAAACTGATCAGGAAGAATTGGCAATACGAAATGGAGAAATATGGGAAAGTCATTTCCAAACATTGTTTAATAAAGTACAAACAGACACAAACTGTAAGCAAAATCAAACAATCAACCAACTGGAAAAACTAGAAACTATAACCAAAACCCATTAGATTTCCCAATAACTGATAAAGAACTTAAAGAAAAAATCAGAAACCTTCAACTCAAAAAAGCATCTGGACCTGATGGGATATTAAACGAAATGATAAAACACACAAGCAGTAAATTCCAATTGGCCATTCTAAAACTATTCAATGTGCTTCTGAGTGTAGGTTACTTCCCTGACAACTGGAATCAAGGCTTGATAACACCGATCTTTAAAAACGGAAATAAATTTGATCCTAACAACTACAGAGGCATCTGTGTGAGCAGCAACCTGGGAAAGTTATTCTGTAGCATAATAAACACTCGACTGTTAGACTTCCTCACCACACACAATGTACTGAGCAGAAGCCAAATCGTATTTTTACCAAATTACCGTACATCTGATCACATCTATACATTACATACTCTAATTGAAAAACACGTTAACCAAGATAAAGGTAAAACATATGCATGCTTTATTGACTTTAAAAAAGCGTTTGACTCAATTTGGCACCAAGGACTATTCTACAAACGTACTGAAAGTGGCATAGGAGGTAAAACCTATGACCTTATCAAATCAATGTACACTGAAAGTAAATGTGGTGTAAAAATCAGCTACAAACGTACGAGGTATCTTTCCCAGGAACGTGGAGTGAGACAGGGCTGCTGCTTAAGCCCAATGTTATTTAACATCTACATCAATGAACTGGCGAGCAGTCTGGAGCGATCTGCAGCCCCTGGCCTCACCCTACACACCTCACAGATCAGATGCCTGCTGTATGCAGACGACCTGCTTCTGCTGTCTCCCACTCAACACGCTTTACAATATATTTTTTTTTTATCTGAAATGGAAATGGAAACTACAGGGGCAACACCAAACCAAACAAGCCAAAGAAGTTGTTAAGGTGCCATTATCACCCCGACACCAACCCGTATTGTCCAGTGTTCAGCCTGGGCTTCATCGCAGCGCAGGCCCGAGAGAAATTCAGCCAACTTTGCAGAACGGCATGTATACGGGTTAAAGGCACAATATGTCATTTTCGCCGCTAGAGGGCGCGTATTCAAAACAAACAAAGAAACAAAGGCGTAGTTTGATGACTCGTGACTGAGTGTGGAATCATGGGAGTTGTGGTCTTCATCCCAACAGCCGATGCAATCCGACGGGACTCGGGCAGAAATCATGTTCATAGATGAGCTAACGATTTATTAGCGTAGTAGAATGAAGCAGGGTGAGGCTGAAAGCCGTCGAAGCGCAACGAGGCCGCTGAATGAGCGTGACACACGGCTCGAAAGCAGCGGAGCTTTTATTATGCCACAGTGGACCGTATACAGTATATATGTATATATATATATATATTTTTTTTGTAATTGGATTGTTTGTTTTGGATTTTTCTGCATCTCGAAGAAGACAAAATATATGCAGAAGAAATGCAATAAAAATGTCAATAGATACAAATCAGAGATTTATGTATAGATGAAATGTCAAATAACACTTCAACTTTAGCCATATCTGATTTATAGAATTTTTTCCCCACCTTCAACAATTTTGCTGTAAATTTATAGATCTTCATCGTATTTTTTAGATATATATACCTTTGATTGTGATTGTTCTGATGTTCTCTTTATACAGAATTTCCTCAGTTATACCTATGAAGGTGTGTTTTGTTTTTCACGATTTACACGTGTGGAGCATGGATGGATGCATTTATGTCATGTTTTATGTGTGCAGGCATGTATTTATCAGTCAGAAAGCGTATCAGGAGACAGAGACGCGTCCAGAGAGTTCGGTGTACACTGAGATGAGAGGTGTGGCCATGCTGGGAGACAGCGTTCAGGACACAACAGAATATGTCAGACCATCTGAGGTGAAGGATTATGAACTGTATAGAAAATCATTCAATTACATCATCCTTATTTTACTCAAAAAAAGATTCCAAGGCAGACAAGATACCCTTAATTGCTCCTAATACGTATTCTTGCTTGGTCAACATTACAGTTGATTGTAAAATCATTTGAAACCCTGTATTTCTTAATGTACAGGGTGGTGATGTAATCAGTACAATTCTTAGGAGAGAAGTGACGCACGATCAGACGCAGGGCACGTGTGCTGAGGTATATGCACAACTGCATATAAATACAAAGTATTCATGTTTTGGGTGGAATGACTGGTCCGAGTCAAACAGCATTTGTAGATCTATTTTTCTCTATTTGTTTTCTCAGCATTACAGTGTTGCCAATGCAAACTGCACAAAAGATTCTGACTGCACTCAAGGAGAAATGGATTTTGATGGTCATGGTGGGGTTTACTTTTATAATAAATACATACATATATACAGTGGGGTCTAAGCTTTGGAACAGGCTATTCATTTTACAGTGTTCATAAAGAATGCCATCCATTTCCCAAAGTTTAAAGTCCTGAGGTACGTTGATGAGTTTCAGCATGTTTTATAACTCAGAGGATATGTCTAAGCAGTGCCAGGCTGCTTTTTAACCTTTTGTGTGATCAAAAAAGCATTTAGTAAAACATTAATGTATCAGAAATTCCTATTTACACTACCGTTCAGAAGTTTAGGATATCAACTGTTTTTGAAAGAAGTCTCTTAGGCTCACTAAGGTTGCGTGGAATTGATCAAATGTACACTAAAAAAACAGTAATATTGTGAAATATTATTACAATTTAAAAGAACTGATTTCTATTTTATTATATTTTAAAATGTAATTTATTCCTGTGATGCAAAGCCGAATTTTCACCATCATTACTCCAGTCTTCAGTGTCACATGATCCTTCAGAAATCATTCTGTGGATCCTTCCGAGTGCATTCCAACATATTCGTTTAGAAGACTGGACATGAGAAAAAACCTGCCCAGCTCAGGATATTACAACAGGTATGAGCTCTGAGGTTACAATCTACATGCATTTCAATAGTCAAATGGCATTAAAATGATGCTCAATTAAATATGAATGTTTATTTAGAAATATATTAACTTCCAAACATTTCAGGTTTGCAAAGTATCACCATAAGGATGGCGTGGAGTACAGGACACTCATAAAAGCCTATGGGATTCGCCTGGATGTCATTGTTCATGGACATGTGAGACCATACAGGAAGCACATTAGCCACATGCTGACTGCACATACGGCCTTATATTGACTCTCTATATTTCCTTTCAGGCGGGAAGATTCAGTCCGATTCCAACCATTATCAACACAGTCATGGCCATGACGTCAGTAGGAATTGTACGTTTTTGCGGAATGCATAATAAAAACACGAGGTTTAAAGTGTGAGATAATGACATCTTAATGACACTGATGGCAGACAAACACTTCACAAATTGCATTATGGGAATGACTTTCAGGTTTCACTCACAGTGCTTGATCTGGAGTAACCCTGATGGACAGAGGCATTTACAGCTTGTATTTTGTCCTAATGCTTAATCATAATATTAGTAAATGTCACATTTCTTTGTCATCTAGTGCTCAATCATCTGTGACTGGATCATGCTGACGTTTATCGATAAGAATGAAGTCTTCAGCGAAAAGAAATTTGATGATGTAAGTCAAGAAGGATGGAGAAGTTTACACTGAAAAAAAAAATGCTGTTGTTGTAAATAAAAAATTTTGGAGTATGTTTTACAAGAAAATACTATCAGTTTTTCACCTTCAAAATTTCACATCTAATTCAGTGTGTTACTTGCTTTGTAATTGTTTGTGCAATTTCTGAGTAAAAACTGAGTGAAAAATGAAGTCCTACACTGAAGAAAAAATTGGTGTAGAAACAATTTTCACTCAGAAATTGCTTGCAAATGTCACAGATAATTACAAATAAATGTCAAGCAACACATTTAATTAAATGTGAAATTTTCAAGTAGAAAGATGCAAGTAATATTTTATGGAAACTTGTTTACGCCACAGGATAAAAAAGGATTTAGCAAATCTCAATTCTTTTTCAGTTTATATCTTGCAATTCTGAGAAAAAGGCCGCAATTACCTTTAATTTTATTTAAAATAAATAAATCTGATCTGCTAGATTTAAAATTAGATTTGCTTGACAAATGCTATATTTAAAATCAGAATTCTGAGAAGAAAAGTCAGAATTATGAGATATAAACACAATTGTGAGCTGTAAACATGGAATTGCGAGGAAAAAAGTCAGAACTGTGAGTTTGTCTTGCAAATCTGAATTTAGATCTCACAAAAAAGTCTGAATTGTGGGGTAAAAAGTTGTAGTTATCTTTTTTTTAAATCCTGTGGCAGACACGAGTTTCCTTGTAAAACATACTCCAAAATTTTTGTTTTATTTACAACTTCGAAAAATAATTTTTACAGTGTATATGTGACCCTGGACCACAAAACCAGTCTTAAGTCACTGGGGTATATTTGTAGCAAGAACCAAAAACACATTGTATGGGTTAAAATTATTGATTTTTCTTTTATGCCAAAAATCATTAGGATATTAAGTAAAGATCATGTTCCATGAAGATATTCCCTACTGTAAATATATTAAAACTTAATTTTTGATTAGTAATATGCATTGCTAAGAACTTCATTTGGACAACTTTAAAGGTGATTTTCTCAATATTTTGATTTTTTTGCACCCTCAAATTTGCACCGGCCAAATATTGTCCTATCCTAACAAACCATACAAAAATGAAAAGCTTATTTATTCATCTCAATTTCGAAAAATTGACCCTTATGACTGGTTTTGTGGTCTGGGGTCACAAATGTGGTTAGAATGTTTCTAATATGACTCTTGAGGGTAACTGATTGAGAGATACTCGAAAGATTCTCCAGTTTTAAAACAAAACGGCAAAGCAAGCATTTAGAAAAGCAAAACCACATCTTTGTTAAGCTCTGCTTCAGTAAATATTAAACACTGATCACCAATTGAATTGCTTCGTGTTTAATTCAACTCCACAACGGGTTTGCATGTATCTTCCATCTTTGAACAGTCATGAAATATGAAAAGTTTCTCTTCTGTAAAATGACATATTTCCATCTTTATTAATTAAAACTCATTGCATATTCCGTTTCATACAAATGTGTCACGTGATTTAAATTCCCAGGACCTATAAAGCAGCTTTTGATTTTGATCAGATTGTTAAAATATTGCTGTTTGTCTTTGAAATAGCCATTGAATTTTGATTTCACATGGACTTTAAAGTCCGACACTAAATTTATCGGGTGATTAAAGAAGTACTAAAGGATCAATTCTATCCAAATGATCATCTCTTTTCTGGGAACCTTCTTCCATCAAAAGGAAGGATGAGATGTTTTCTCCAAAGAGCAGCACTTGCTCTGCTAACAACTCCTCCTACAATATTGGTTACAGTAATGAAATTTAGGGGACGAGGAATTGCGTCAGCCCAGCTCTACTCTAAATGTGATTAATTGAAATGTATCGATTTATGCAGCTCACACTTTTGAGGTTTATGGTCTTCTAAGTAATGATCAAGGGTACATATAAAACCTCATCTCCCCAGACAGGAAAAGAGACTGAAACCAAATGGACAGACAATGAACTTAGCTGTAGCACTATGTAGCCAGAACCTATTCTGAAGAAAACAACTTTTGCTCTTATGGGAGAAAGAAACATTTCAGTAAAAGTGGTGAGAAGAGCAATGACACTGCCAGGCAGTGAAGTTAAAGTGGGTAGTTGCTGGCTATTGCTCCATCCTATAGTGGTTACAAAAACCATAAAAGCCATATCTTTACAGAATTAAATTCATAAATGTCAAAAAGAAGCAATATCCAAATGGACCATTACCAAAGAGACATATTAGTTGCATGCCACTATGAACAAGAGTGATACCCCTCATCTGCAAATATCATTGCAGATTCAATTAGTAACCCTTATGACCAAAATCATCATTCAATTACTTAGGAAGTAATGACAGAAGTGAATTCTTCATATACAAAAATATTTATTAACAACAAATAAAAGAGTTCCGGTACCAACATTTTTCCACTGTGATAATGTACACACACTTCATAAGAATTCAGATCTGTACAAATGGCTCACACACACTTAGCTTGGCACAAATGATGGAGCGTATCGGGTGGAAAAGCATCTATGCGTTCATACTAAGCACCCAGTCAATGGTCTCTAGCAGGAAGTTCATGTTATAGTGGGCGGCAATGTTCCGGAATACTTCCACCTGTTCAGTGAAGCTCTGCAAACATGCAAACAAGTGGAAATGAGCAAGCATGAGACATTACATGACTAAACAAAATATTTGTAGGTGGTCCATTAGCTGTAAAACATGCATTATCATTCCACAGTTTGGGGGGGGGGGGGGGGGGG